TCATAAAAATAAAATTTAAATATATTACTGGAACGTTAATTGGAAGCTATACACCTTCACAATTTTCTAAAACAAGAATTTCTTTTCGTACTTTTGTTATATACAGGCGAATTCAGTACTTGCTTTTAATGTCTACTTGGATACAGCAGGAACAACAATTTTATTGCGTTCTAGGTTCCACATCCCAAATTGGTTGGATGTCGCTATGACGTCAAGTACAACCTCGCATACCTTAAAGCTCCTTTAACTTTGTAAATAACTATGTAAATGTGGTAAGCTACTGTTTTAACACTGTGTACGTTTATTCAAGCATAAGAATTTGTTTGTGCATATTTATTTGTATATTACATCTTAGTAGCATCCATAATAATTTAAACTTCCTTTAACTTCTCTGTAGACGTTAATGTTGAATATATTTAGTCAACAAAGTGACAACATGTGCTGTTTAAAACCAACAAAACTAAATTTATACCAATGGAACGAAATCTTGGTCCGGCAAAACAAATCACTGTATTATGACATGACGCGACGTATGTGATAAATTTATATTTAGACTTAAAAATTTGTAAAAATTAAATTGAAATTCACGGTAAAATCGAAAATAATGGTTATGACATAAAACATGAGTTTCCAATCAATCAATTAAAAAAGTTATAAGTTGTTAAAATAAAACCGTTTATATACTGGGTGTCCCAGTTTATCTGTTCCACTGTAATATCACATTCGTGTCCAAAGATGTTTAAAATTGAGAAGTGTTAATACACAGAGATCTATAAAAAGAATATACTATTAGCATTACACCGTCTTTGATTTTTTTTCAGAAATGACATCAACTTTTTGCAAATAGAATATAGTATGTTTTTTAACTCTTTAACTTAAATTTTCGTTGTTTTTTTTCATGTTGTAGCATTTGATACGTAATTCGTTTGATTTAATATTTCTACTTTAATATTTCCTCCAATTTTTCCAGAAATTACTAAAACTTCTTTTCCCAAGAAAAATGTGATATGTTTTACACGAGTGCTACATACAATACTTTTTTAATTTTTTTCACTGCTGTAACATTTAATATCAATTTTATTGGTAAATTCAAAAAATAAAATGTTAACTTACTACACATTTGACTTAAAAAAATCCATAAAATGAGTAGGTACACTGAAAAATTGCATAGTTATTTATTTTGATTGACATTTTTGTATAATCTAAATTTTTTAAACTGCGACATCCTAGTTCAGTCGAAATATAGCAATTTTTCAAGAAACAAAATTTTAAAACTTACTACAGCCATATGGTTTTAAAAAAATTCATAACATGGAAAACTGCAAAACTGCATATCTAAGGTGCCAGAATTTCACATTACATTATTTTTTTTACAAGCGAAATGTAAAACATATTTTTAAGTGTAACAGTGTATTTTTTCACTTTTTATTGCATTTTTCTATGAGATACTGTTTCATTTAAGTGTTTTAAAATGTTAAAAAAATACGTACATATCGGAAAGATCGCTGATAAAAAATGAACTTTTCATTAAACTTTATTAACATTAACATTAAAAATCATACCTTTTTTTCGAAATAAAAAAAATGTCTGTCATTTGTGGCAAAACCAAAGGTAGTATCATGTTATTAGTAGATGTATTTTATAGATTTCTGTGTGTTAATTAATTATTCTAAATTTCAAACATATCTCTTTTCAAATAAGTGAGATATTACACTGCAACAGTAACCTGGGACACCCGGTACAATCATTTTGAAAAATTTATATATAAAGTTGTCTAATTTTACGGTTATTTATTCTAAGTTACATCTTTCTTATCTATTTTAGAAATTTTTAATTGTCTTTTTTAGAAATTTTTAAACTTCAAAATATTAATTACTACAAAAAAAAATTGTACATATATTGGCCATTTTTAGCTTAAAAATAAATCTGTATAGTTTTAGCTTTCTGAGACCTTTAATTTTGCCGAAAATTACAACAAGTTCTTTTCCCAAACAGAATATTTTGGAATTGCTCCAAATTGCCAAATAGAATATTTTTTTATTTTTTCACTGGTATAATATTAGATATGAATCTGTTTAACAAAAAGGTCTAAATTTTTTTAACTTTGACGTCCTAGTTTAGTTGTAATATAAAAATTTGTCAAAAAAAAAACAAAATTTTAAAACTTATAACAGCTATTTGACTAAAAAAATCCGTAGCATGAGTACACTGCAACATTGTATAGGGGCTACAATTTCCGAACATTACATTATTTTTCTTTTTTTTTAGTGAAATGTAAAACATATCTTTAATTGTAACAGTTTTTCACTCTTCAATGCATTTTTAAATTTTTAAAATGTTTAAAGAAAAAGATATATGTATATAAAATTGTCTATTTTGATTTATGAGACATTTATTCTGAATGACGTCTTTGTTATTTTACAAATTTTTCGTTGCATTTTTTGAAAATTTTAAATATAACCTCAAAATATAGATTACTAAAAAAAAAAGTCGCTAGTTTTATCTTCCAAAAAAATGGTTTCATTAAATTTCTAAAATCTATAAAGTTGTATATTTCTAGGGTTTGATCATCTCAAAATTTTCCGGCAATTACTACAACTTCTTTTCTCAAGCTAAAGTGTGCCAAATACAATACATTTTATTGTTTCTCTGGCATATTTCGTATAAATTTGTTTGGTAATTGCTCTAAATTTTTTAAACTACGAGATGCCAGTTTAGTCAAAATATATCAATACATTCGAAAGACAAAATTTTAAAACTGACTAATCATTTGATAAAAAAAATACACTGCAAAATTGCATAGGGGCCAGAATTTCCGGACATGACATTATTTTTTACAATTGGAATGTAATATACTTTTTAAGTGTAACAGTGTACTTTTCACATTTCAATGCATTTTTAAGTGAGATAACGTTTCAATTAAGTGACTTAATTTGTAAAAAATTAAAAAATTCACACGAATGTGCTAAATCGCTCATAAAAAAATACTTATTCATTAAATTTAACCCTTTTTTCATTCGAAATAAAGAAGTTGATGTCGTTAGCAGCAAAATCAAAATAGCAAATTCATTTTTCGATTTCTGTATGTTAATTAATTATTCTAAATTTAAAACATATGTCTTTTCAAGTAAGTGAGATATTAAAGTGCAACAAATAACCTGGGACACCAGGTATAAACAATTATTTTGAAAAATAATAATAATAATAATAATTTGTCTAATTTGATGGTTATTTATGCCGAGTGATATCTATCTTTTACAAATTTTTAATATTATTTTTTGAAAATATCGAAATTTAAATTATTAAAAAACTAATTCTAAGACCACATATTTCCAACTTTTGTCTTCTAAAGAAACGTAATGTTTAAATTATTTGTATTGTGATTAACTTAGCTGACACAGTTGCGTCTTTTACGTACAATTAGACCTGGCCCTGGAGATATATAAAATTTTGACTTTTTATTTTGCAGTATGTGCTAAAATTTTACTTTCAAGTATTTCCAGAAAGAAAAATCTTGATCGTAACAGCTACCTTTTGGACGTGGGATAAAAAATACGAATCACAGACTGTGTAGCTGCTCAAATTTATTAAGTAAACGTGTGAAGTCAAAAATACTCGTTTGAATGTTAATACACGATTCTTGGTATTCTCTTGACAGAAATGCAAAAAACTTTTTTATTGATTAAAAAATACAATTTTTTCTTCAGGAAGGTGGCGAATCCAAATATAAAGTTTTTTAAACTTGCACAAACTTAAAAAAAGCTAATGATGTGATGACTTACGCTGCATAGGTATTTGTAATCTACAACGTGCTCAACGGAGGCATCGACGTCACGATCTCTTTTATTTATCGCTTTTACGGTGTAACCATTAGTACTGATCATGAAAAGGATGTTCCGCATTAATTTTTTTGTTAACTTAAAATTAAAAGTGCCAAAAAAAATTATAAAGTTCCACTGATACGGCCGAACCATCAAGTACTTAAAAGTAGTAGCTTTTTTTTTAAACCGTTTCTTTCAGAATTGCCTGAAAAATTCTTTAAATTACTATAATTTAAGGATTTTTCTTGCATCTTTTTGTGTGTACATTGTTTGTCTCCTTTTTCATAACTATTAAATAAATGCTGTTAGTGTTGTAAGTATCATAGACTCGGAACTAAAATGATCTGGCATTTATGGTATGTATAATATATGCATAAAAGTACCATGGGAATGCAATAAAGATTGAGAATCCCATAACGACCCTGTACAGTAAGCTGCAAAAGTGATTCTCTTCTTGTCTATGATATTTACTAAAAACGAAAGCAAGGCGTTCCTGTTACACTTATTTAACCCTCAAGACTGAAAACTCCATCAAAACAACGAATGTTCGATATATTGCAAATATTATCACAGATTTTACTCAATCAAAACCTTTATAATGTTCACTATAACTCTTTCCTTTAATCCAAATCGAAAAATAGAGTGTTTTTAATTAAAGAAAGGAATAGTAATTTCGGGTTAGAACATTTTTGCAGCTTCTGTATCTCGCCATCAGTTTCAATCTCCATCAAATTCCCATCGTACCTCCACCCAATCAACCAAGCAAACGTCGTCCCGATACTTTGAAACCCGATCAGCGTCCCCCGAGGCAGCCAAAACAGTCCAAACCGCCGTTTTCGCCAGACTTTGGTATCAGAAACGTTTGTCCTCGGCGCGTCGTCCCGAACGTGATAACAATAAGCTAAATCATGACTAAGATCATCCCTAGGGACGCGTCCCATCCGCCTACCGTTGAGGATGAGAATGGGGCATATGCGAGTGCGAATGCGGGTGTTGCGGGTGTCCGTAGCCCTGGTGCGGGGGCGGCAGCGGGCTGGGGCAGGCCTGCGAGTAGCCCCCGTGCTGCGGGGAGCCCCCGAGGCCCAGGTGGCTTTGCTCTAGGTGCGAATAGTGACCCTGACTACTCAGAGAATGGGCGTGCGTGTGTGTATGCGGTGAACCGTACACCATTTGTCTTACTTTGGAGTCCTCGTCGCTGATGTTGTAGGTGAGTTCCGTCTCCTCGAATCCGGTGGCCGACATTCGCTGGTCTCCGGAAGCGGAGCCCGCCGGAGGATCCGGGGAGTTCAAGCAGGTCTGGATCAGCGCCTTGCCGGCCTCGCTGGTTATCATGGGCTGAAGCTTTCGGGTTGCGAACGTGTACACGTGGCCGGTCTCGGACGCCACCAGGAGCATGACTTGCGTCCCGGTCAACGTCGACAGCTCGTATGCCTGCAGCAACAAGAAAAAAAATTATGGATTTAAATAAGTAAATAAAATTAATCGAAGTTACATGGATTATTTAGGGAAATATGGAACTAGAAGAGGAGGTTCTAGCGAACCTCATCATGCAAAAATTCTTTAACTAGAAGACTAGATGGAATTCCATCCTTTCTTCTCAAAGCTTATGCTCACATATTTATAAAACCGTTTGCATAACTTATTTAATTTAATAATCGGTACCTCAACTTTTCCGGAAGGTTGCTAGAAAACAGTAATCTGTCCTATTCTCAAGAAAGGAGATCTAACTGAAGTCAAGAATTTCTACCCTATTTTATTATTAAGCAACTTGACATGTTTTACAGAATATAATATCTCTGAAGCCATCGACTAAAAACAACCAGTTGATACTATATAGTCGGATTTCCAAAAAGCTGTTGTTAAAATTGATCACTATGTACATATTCACGAATTGTGTTATGGATTTTATAAATCTTCACTGGACTTGTTTAAATCGTATCTGCTTAATCGAGGTTTTATTACGAAGGTTATTAGATCTAGTTCTAGAGTCCCGCAAGGGTTCGATTTGGACCCACTTCTATATCTGTTCTTTAATAAGTTCGATAACACATAGAAAACCATCACATTTTAGCTAGAAATCATACTTTTATCGAAATTTACTAATTCTGAGCCATATTGCGATTTGTTTTGACGATTCTGGACGTCTTGACGTATTTACGATATACTGAATCGACTTATTTTTTTTAAATGAGCTTTCGTCTGTTTTCTATCCTTTTCGGCACCTGAGAAACCCGAAAATACGCAGAAAACCATAAAATTTTGGCCACAAATGTGTGCACTACACTAGAAAGGTCTTTTTCGAGATTTTTTCTTATACTGTTACATTAATTAAACGTAACGATCCATTCAAAAACTTGAAGTTTCATTCGATTAAAAATTAATGATATTGTCGCAAAGATTTTCAAAAATTATGGGTTTAGTTATAGGAATTGTAGATAATTGTCCGAAACTGGAACTTTACGAATCCTTTTTTTTTTACTAGTTAAATCAATACTTAAATAAAATCCTTTCGTTTGGTCACTTCAAACAAGTAGTTAAAAAAAAAATAAGTCGCAAATCAACTTCATCAGAGAATTATACAACAAAATTTCTGCTCATTGTTGTCTAAATGCCGATTCATTGCACTCTATACAAAATTATACATTAACAATTTAGGTAACTAACTTTAGTTTGGGTTAGGTTACAGTTACAGGTTACCTAGTTTAAAAGTAACTAAAGCTTAAATTAACGCTGGGTACAATCAATCATTAATAATACTTATTACTGTTCTCTCGGAACTGTTTTCCAAAAAACTGAATTTGTAATGGTATGACCTTTTCGTTGTAAATCTAATGTCCGGTACAGACGCCGATAGATATGCGTGAATTTGAAGGAAAATTAACCCTTTTATACAGTACGGTTAGCCACTTGAAGGTTAATCATTCCGACGGGAGGTTCCACTGCATTATTGCTCTGGTGGTTTGTCCCTTTGCTCGCAGCCATCTCATTTATGGTCCGTATGTATAAATTCTTTTGTTTTTAATTCTGTAGTTTTAGATTGATCATTCAATTTTGTATAACTGGGTATATTATTTATTATTATTATTATTATTATTATTAAATAATCATCAATAGGAAGAATTACATTTGTACGTGATATACAGACAGTTACGAAAAGGATACATGAAATACAACACATTTATATACAGAATGTTCAAAGAAAGAAGTTGGTACTTCTTTACCATAAGTGACGGTTGAAACTTCAAAATTGAGCTCTATTATAAGCCAAATTTTAAATTCACCTTTGGTTTTAAGGACTCCATCATGGTTTTAATGTCTGCTGTCTTATATGTATGTAAGCACAAATTACGACTCTAGAAAGACCCTCAATTATATTCAAAACTGTATTTTTCTGAAAACAGCAGTCTGTGCTACGACTTACTTTAACACTGTCAAAATAAAATAAATTTGGTCAAATTTGATACACAACCAATCTAAACCAATGTTTTATTAGTTTTTTCTTCTAATTTTGGTATTTTTTAATCTTTAATATTTCCCTTTTTCACTAGGATAGAAAAAAGTCAAAAACTAAAGTTGGCCGGTCCTTTAAGGTCTACACTCTAAACATTTTTTAATTATACAGAGCGTTCTAGTTTTAAGGCGTGACATACGACTTAGTTTTTTTTTAATGAAGCACCCTATATATTTTTACATATTCTCATTAACTTCTTCTTATTCTTAATAGCTACAGTTTAATTTTGAAATTCCGATCCGACGGTGCGACGTTATTCCAATTTTCTTTGGTAACAAAAGGGTTTACAAAAAAATAACAATAGAGGAAGTAATTGTTAAAATCTGTCTGTGGAATAATAAATAAAGGTGCGAGATTTGTTGTGTAATTAAATCAAATTTTAATATACAGTGTTTGCAAAAAAAAAAAATGTTTTAAATTACAATTTTTAAATATCGATATTTCAGTTTTTAGAACACCCTGTATCTGATTATTGTTTCTTACTCTATTTGGTACTATTTTTCATTTAATAAGTCGATGTATCTCTTAAAAAAGTAAAAAATTGCACTAACTATCTAAATTTAGAAAATACTTAGGTAACAAAAGAAAGACAACAAAAAATAGAATAAGACAAAGTGATAAAATATAGGTGTCGTATTTGAAAAAACTGAAATATCGCTATTTAAAAATTACAAATAAAAATCTTATGAATACTCTGTATGTGAAAATATAATTTAATCAAAATTTATCACTCTACAAAATATTATAACAGAGATTTAAAAAAAACTGAAATTTTTTGTAAACCTTTCTATTGCTAAAAAAATTCAAGAAAATTGGAATTAAGTGGCAAAAGCAGATTTTTAAACATAAACTGTGGTTGTAAAGTCTAAGAAGAGATCAATCAGAATATGTAAAAATATATAGGGTATTTTATTAAAAAAAAAAACAAGTTATATGTTACGGGTTAAAAACAGAATGCTCTGTATGATTAAAAATAATTTTACAACTTATTACAACTTCGATTTTCGACTTTTTTTTTCTATTTTTAATAAATTAGTGAGATATCGAGGAACAGTGATTCACTCTGTATATCCAAATGTCAATATATCGATTTTAATTTTAAACAAAAAAGATTTCTTTAGAAGTTCGCATGTACTGCCAAACTTGGAATTCTTTACAACAATTCTTCCATTAAGGATCCTGAGTATTTTAGCGTCGGATATATTCGATAAGCACTAATAAGTAGTTGAGTTCAAGAGTTTCAATCAAACAAATCATTCCTTAACGCTAATTCGTAACTTAAAAGTTACGAAAAGTAATAGCGGGTGGTTTTTTAAATTTCAGCTCTAATAGTTGGCCATGACGCTTACGTCAATCGTTTCAATTGCACTGCTGACATACGCGTCATGGCCAACTAGAGCAGAAATTTTAAAATCACACGGCATCATTCCGAATTCGCAAAAAAAAACAATTTAATAACAGGTGTGTATATTATGTAACAAAATCAAAGAAATGTGAGAAGCTACATATCATCGCAGATAGATTCAATACATCTGTAAAATCTTATAAATAATAATTCGAAATCAGATCAATTTAACAATTATTTACCGTTTGCCAAATATAAAATATTTTCCAAATTTTCAAATGAAAAAAAATTGTAGAGTAACGTAACCCACTGAACATCTCTAATTTTTAGATCCATTTCAGTCGTCTAGTATTGTCAATTTTTTTTTTTATTAATTCTAAAAGAAAAACTAGGCTCTTACTTTGAAAGTAATAATAAATTTGATGAAACACAGTTTGCTTTTAGGAGTAATGAGTCAACAACATTGGCAACTAGTTCTACTAATATTTCATCGGCCTACGAATCCCAGGTACTACTCATCAATGATATGTTTAAAGTAAAACCTTCAGCTAAATCATTAATCCTCAAAATTAATTCCACATTCAGGCATACCACAGGGTTCCCTGCTGCAGCCTATTTTGTTTCTGATATATGTGAGTGATGTAGTAAAGACAGTTGTTTAGACAGACTAGCTGTTAATTACTAAAAACGCTCAGGCTGAAATCAGTTTTTAAATAATAAGCTTAGTATAAATGCCAAGAAAATATGTCTAAAATTAATGTACTTATGTAAATTACAAAAAGTCAACCCCGAAAGGGTGATTGTACTAACAATATAGGAGTACATTTTTAATTATCTAGCGAGTAATGCGTATACCTTATTACACTACCATTTAAAGATGGACCAGTTTGTTGGTAAATGGAAACTCTATCCGAACAGATCTTGGTATGTTGCAAATACTGTAAGTAACGCAGTTTTTACTTAATTATGGCATTAAATGTGTACCACTTTTCTCTTACATCACCGTGCTGCTCTCTGTGATCTTTACTTTTACTTTAGTAAGGCAAAAACGAATTAAAAATACCACAAATAAGCAAGGAACACATAAATAAAAAATGCACTAATATGGCCCAAAATTCTACTAGAAAGTATGCACAACTATGTTTAATAGGCGGAAATTTTTCCTCCATATCACTCGTATAATATTCCTTATCTTGATTAGAGGTTTTCCCCAACGGACGAACGTTTGCATTACGGGTGCGGTTGTTAGAGATATAAAAATTAAACCAAATGCAAAAAAGATACGAGATAAATAACTAACACAAATCAAAAAAGAACCAGGGTTGGTGCCGCACACTCTGGAAATATAAACATAAACAAGCTTAAACAATAAATAAATCTAATTTTATGGGTAAATAAATTAATGCAACTACTCCGTTCATCGAAAGAACACACTATAAACTTTATGATCTGACGACATTTTTATAGATTTTGGATTTCTATGAAGTCTGGTTTACGTCATTTAGTAAACTTAGCACACAAGCGTAGCATTTACTTATTGTACTATTATAAAACTATAATCTTGCATGGGAGTGT